CCGGATAAATCAGACGAACGCCATGGGAGTAAAATTGGATCGGAAACCGCTCTGTGAAGGCGGGGAAATGTGAGAAATAGATCGATATTGAGGCAATATTAGGGTTTGGGAAGGGATTTTTTTCCAAATTTGGATTTTAGGTTTCGGATTTGATCGAAGAGAGACAGAGAGGGACAAGGCTTCTTGGTCGGAAGATGAAGTGAAGTGAGCGAAGAGAGAGAAAGAGAGGAGAGAGAGAGAGAGGGTAAAGGCCTAATAGGATTAGAGGAAGGGGCAAATGGCAGGATCCGTAAATAAACGTCAGAAATGGAAATTAAATGCGTTAAGATTTTTTTATTTTTTATTTTTGCATAAGAAGCTGTACTCTGTAGTCTCTAATTTTTCACGCCCACTAACTAGCCAGAAACGACGTGTCGTTTTAACGTTTTATAACTTTTTTTTGGGGACAATCAAACCAAGCCTTTTTTTCTTTTTACTTTTTTTTTAGAAGCCCTACATTTTCTGTCATGCTATCTATTAGCCATTTTTTGGTTCGTACAAAAAGAGGAAAAATATTGACTTTCTAAAGAAATGGATTGGCCTGTGAGCTTTTGACTTTTATTTTAGTTTGTTCCGTGAAAATTTCATGAAATCAGTTTTTGATTTATTATTAGGGACCTTCGTTGGTATTCTATTTTTATTAAAAACAGTGATGTTTCTTATTTTTTTCATTAAATTTATATTAAATTTAATTTAAAGTTAAATTATATTAAAAAAATAAAATAAATTTGACAGTTGATAAATAAAAAATATTTAAAAAATTATTATTATTTTAAGAGTTTTGTTCAGTAATTAACATAAGTGAAAAAGAAAAGAATAATTTAGTATAATTATTAATAAAAATAAAAGATTTTCTCTAGTAGTTTTTTTTTTTTTTAAATATCAATATTTTTTGTTTATCAACCGCCGGATTTGTTAAATTTAATCAAAAGTTAAATTAGATTAAAAAAGTAATAAAGATTTGACGACTGATAAATAAAAAACACCAGTATCTCAAAAAATTAAATACCAAAAAAGAGAAAACACCATAAAAATTCTCTAAAAATAAAAGGTGTACATAATACAATTTTTATAAAATTTGATATTAAAAGGTTTAAGAGAGGCAATAAATAAATTGAATAATAAATCAAAAATATTAATGGACCCACTTTGATCATGCTGGTTTTTTCTTCCATCTTTACACGAATCGTGTTAAAGTCAGAATAAGGTAAAAAAAATTATAAAATTTTATGCCAACTTAAACATGACCCACAACACAAATTAATTAAAAAGTATAAACCTAACATGACATGTTATATTAAATAGGTTGGCACAACTCACACAACCCGTTTTGAAAACGTACTTAGAAAAGAAATATTCACCCAAAAATTAGCAGAATTTTAATTAAATCTTCTTTTGAAAACATAATTTTAATTAAATAAAATGATACTCTTAAACACAAATGTTATCAAAATATGATATAACATTAATGCAATCATTATTAGTATTTAGTATTTTTTTTTTCTTAATACAATGTGAGGTCTATAACTCCTAATTTGCTTATAAGAAACGAATAAACATTCATGTTTCACATCTGAGCCTAACCAAACAGCTAACATTGTAACGATGCGTTTGGTTCATGGATTAGAACCATATGATTAGAACCATTTTTTATTTACGTGTATTTTTTGTGAGAGAAAATACTGTAGCGAACCACGAACCATGATTCGAATCAGGGAACGAATCCATCTACCAATAAGTTGAATCAAAATGTAAACTTTTATTGGAAAAAACATCGTAGCATAACTATTTAAATAAAGATTGAGGCCTCGTTTATTTTGCGGATTCGAGTTTTCAATTCGAGATGAGATGTGACATTTTCTGAGAGCTTTTCACTGTAGCAGAAAAAGTTAGATGTGACATTTTTTGATAACTTTTTACTGTAAAAATCTAAAACTGAAACTCAAATCGGTGAAATAAATGAAGCATGAAACTCCTTTAACCAAAATTGGGTTCAACTCAAAAGTCAAAATGGTAGGTGTTATCGTTTGACCAATACAAAAACCTTCCATGTTTTATCAAAACGTTACGTTCCACCTGTGTTTTCAGCATTGCTGCACATATTCTTTATATATTACAAATCATGTTTCTAAAAGGGTTTTTTTGGTACAATTGTCCCTTAAATTTATTGTGATTTAATAAATTATTCCCTCAATTTTAAATTTTGACAAGTTGTCTCTCAAATTTGTGAATTTGTTATAATGTGCCACATTTAATTAAATTTGCTCAAATTTTTTATTAGATTTAAGGAATGTTGAGATATTGAAATATTTGTGTTACATTTAAATTAGAATGTTGAAATTTTAGTTGAACGTGCTTTTTTGACACTAATTTAACACAATTGTCGTTAAAATGAGACATATTGTAATAACTTTACAAGTTGAGGGGGCAACTTGCCAAATTTAAAAATTTGAAGGGTAATTTGCTAAACCACGACAAATTTAGAGGACAAATGTGCTAAAAACTTTTTCTCAAACATAACAGATAGGTGTATCATTCCTTGAAATACATGGTGGAATACAACATTTTTAAGAAACGCGAATATTTTTACTACTACCCCTAATATAGTTCATTTGAACACCTCTGATGCAATGTTAAATTAACATTTCAATGCTAAATTTTTAATATTTGAATAGAAAAATTACTTTCTAATATAATTCTACCTTTGATGTTATAATTTTGTCATATGCTATATTTGCTATCAAATTTAGTTATCGTAACATTGTCATCTTCAAACTATCTTAAAATTAGAAGTTTATTTTTCTACAAGTTTTAAAGTTAAATTATTATGTATTAATATCATAATATTGTCATCTTACACGTGTTAATACCGCATATAATAATATTGACATCGACATTTATATTTACGGTGAGGACGATGTTTAGATGAATTCATATTAGGACTATTCTCGAGTAAGAGAAACTGAATTTATAATTCGCCTTGCCAAATCTTATGCTTTGGATTGTACTTAAACGTTAAACTAAGTCATAATTCAATCATTTTCTAGCAAAAAGATGTCATAATTCAATCATAATAACTCTGCAACCGATAGGAATTAGAAGACGTATAATCTCTCAACACGATGCTCTTGATGAGCTTGTGACCAATCACGAAGTATACGATTTTGCATCCATCCTTGTGGCTTTTAATTGGCCATTGAAATAAAAATCTTCCTCGAATCCCACGTAAAAACAGCACTTAATCGTATCATACCTCTAAATAGGAACTCATTTTTTTAAGTGTGAACAGAAAGTCATGCTAAGGCTTAATTTTAGCATTGAAGTTGAAACATTCAAAAGTCATGGCATGTTCAATTCTAGTGATTGCCAATACAAGAAGCTTTATGATCGATAATCCAAATAATTATATATATATATATATATAATTATATCTTTCTGTTGGTTTTGAAAATATTTTTCAAAGCGGAAATGTCTATTTAATTGATCGTGTATAATAAAAATTCTCAAAAAATCTTGAGATACACTATAAATTACATTAATTTATGCACTAATAAATTAATCAAATTAATTTATTTATCTAGCGAACGATTAAATCGATAATTTGAATTTTTTGACTACGGATGTTCCTTGCTCCAAGCTAGTTTAGAACTCCCGAATCTTCCTCATCAATTCCTTGAATCTACGAAGACGTGTGTGTGAGCACACCTAAAATAAAACGAGATTAGTAAATAAACACTCAAGTTTTCCACGAACATCAACACATGCACAACGTGAAATTTTAGGACAAAATTTTTCTTTTGTGCACTCTATAAAATTCGGCCACCTATGCTAGGGAGAGCAAAGATAAAGCTTGATAATTGTCTCCCATTTCTAATTTGATTTTTGAAAAAAAAAATCTCTCTCTCCTTTATCCTCTTGGCCGACCATCACAAGGAGATTCCTCCCTGTGGTAGGCGCATACATCAGCTAGGGAATAGGACAAAATTCTGCATTTATCCTACAGTTTAATTTTGACTCAAATTCAAATTTCAATTTAAGTCAAACTTAAATTAATTTGAATTTCAATTAGACAACTTATCAAATAAGTCAATTGGATAACTTAGAGAGCAAGTAATTGAATCTGAGAGGGATTCACACTGTGTTGGGCATGTACACCATGTGGACTCCTCCACATGTGTGTTTTAAAATTCAAATTTAAATAATCACATTATTTAATTAATTCTCAATTAATTATTCTTGAGTGTTTTATTTTAGAATCCCATAATTCTAAAATTTCTATTTTGTCATTAGTGTCTTGTAGGATTACAAGGACGACACGGGGACTCATAAACCTATAATTTTGAGCTATAATAAAATTAACAATTAATTAAACTCTTTAATTAATTAATTATATTAATTCTAAAAGTTACTCCACTATAAACTTGGAATTGCACTCTCGTAATTATAAACATAAATTACTTCTAAACTGTGAAGTGTCCATTTGATATTTTTATTACATATAGATTAGTCATACATAAATAATTCATAATTAGAGCTAGGTGAAATCCTTTAACCTCTCTAATTACATATTTATCCTTGAGTACTATTGATTCTCTAATGGACAGTGATTCATAAAACAAATTCATGCATCGGAGCTTCTACTAGTCCAAGTACCAAATCAACCCTCAAGAGAATTATTTATCTACTTCTTTCTCAAGAAATAATGGATTACATCTTGTATAATAACATTCTCTGCTACTCACTTCATCATGTCTCTAAGATACAAGGAATAAGATTTAACATCTCAGAATTCATACCAAGTAAATCAAAAGATATAAATCCATAAATAAGAGTATGCTAATAACTCATAATTTATATATGACCATCGGTATACTCAATTAGAATTTCTATACTTAACGGATATTATCAGAAATTCATATTGTGTATGTGTCTCTGTTCCACATAATCTCATTATGTGTAATACACTCATTCAATATCTTGTTATATTAACAGTGCGGATAACACCGTTCCATTCTCAATGAGAATGGCATGTATTAGTAATGTTTTAATTAAAGATTCTGAACTTTAATTAAATTGATTACGAACATTATTTTGATTATTATCCTTAAATATTATCCTCTCGCATATAACACTTATATACAATATTTAAGGTCACATAAATAATCATGAAATTTCACCGATATTCATAAAATATTCATTAATATATGCACATAAAATAATGAATAAACACT